GACATACATCACAAATCCCCAACTCCATCTCCCTTGGCCCCTACAATGGGAGAATAATTTATTCTGGTCAATCCATCAGATGCTTCATATGTCATTCCTCCGACCATCAGGTAAAGCAGCGCCCCACTGTAAAACGTTGGAAATGTGGCAACCTGGGGCCAAAGACAGTCAGTGCAGCCTGTGTGACGAAAAAGGCTACACTTTCTTCAGCTGCTAGAGCCCACCTGCAGTCAACCTGCAGCTAAGCAGAGCCAGCAGCTGATCAACAGCAGGCCGGATCTCTGCCAGCCATTCTACAGGTGCTCCTCCCGTCATCCAGCTCCTTCCAGCTCCTCTTTCTATGGGGCCGATTTCCAGCTCCTCATCGGCCCTCCCTCAAAGAGGCGCTTCCTCCTCTGAGTCTTCAGCTCAGCCCCCTCTGGATGCCCCCTCCCTCTGGCGTCTGGACGATAAACCATCACCATAGCTGCGACATCCTCCTTTTTCTTCTTAATGAGCTTCCTCACTGTCTCCATCTGTTTTTTGTTTTTCCTGTTGTATTAGCCTATGTATAGGCTATGTGTATTTAGACCCTCTTGAAAACGAGATGCACCATCTCAAGGGACCCGGTCCGGGTATCTCGGGATAATTCGTTTGTAATTCAAAAAGGAAAATACCGTTTATGTGTTTTTTGTTTCAAAACGAATAACCAATTATAAACGGCGTTTTTTTGCAGTTCATTTTATTGTTATTCCTTTTTTGAACAAATAATGAAGAGTCTGTGAACTTCAGTCAATTCGTTTTTTGTTATAGACCATAAACGGAAGTCAAGTGGTCTATTCTATTATAAAACCTTCAAAATAAAAGAAGCCCATCTACTGTGTGATTAGCAAGTAAACTAAAGTCAAACTAATTAATAAAACTAAAACAACTTTTTTAGTAAAACTAAACTACCACTGGTTGTGAAAAAAAAACACTTTAGTTAACTGAAATAAAAATAAAAACCTATATATTAATAACTCTGACAAATGTTTAGTTCTCCCTAACAGCCAGACTATTGGTGACCTGTAACTTCAGATTAAGACAAGTGAACTAATGTTATATTTAGCATAGGATAGCAGTTAGCCTATTTATTTAAGTTTCTATTATTTAATTCATATATTAATTTCCTAACATATTTATAGGCCTTCTTGCTATGTGGGAGCTCAACCAGCAGAGGTCACCGTACCCCCTTCTGTGGCGCCAACGGGCAACAAGGTTTTGACCTTTTAACTTGTGTTTATATCAAAGAGAAGGCTGCACTGCTACCAGAGGAAGTTAATCACTGAGTTTGAAGGGTGTGCAGAACTTCACCTGCCTTCCAGCTTCTCTTACTATGGGGCTAGAACTGCTGAAATCTCTCAGCTTCAACAATCTACCGCTGACCCTTCTGTGTCAAAACAAAACTCTTCCAAAACAAATCAAAGCAGAGTTTTATACTTTTTATTTTCCTTTGGAATTTTCTCCAGTGTTATATACTTATTATGTTAGTTAAGTAGATTAAATATTTTTAATGCAGGCTGATGTTCTCATTAGTTATGTAGGCCTACTTATATGTGAAACCTGGTGAGCATTAATGAGAGTAAAAAAGCATCTCCTCTGGCTCTGGGGCTTTCAAGTCTTTTACTGCCATTCTTGGGTTTAATTCTGTTTGATGAGCCATCGGGGAAAGCTATGCACTGTTCAAAAAAAGAGCTATCACTTTTGGACTGTAAGATCATGAAATATGGTAAAACACTGCTTGTAATCATGGCTCTGCTTTTGTGCATAAGGATATTGAAATACATGTCCACTTTACCCGGGTCATCCACTTTTAGTACCAGTCACCTGCACCATCTTTACAGACAACATCTCACATTTAACCTAATACATGAGGCTTTCAACTTTAAAAGAAAATAATTGCATCTAAAGCATTTAAAAGTCTCATTTTGTAATTCTTATTTTGTGCATTGGATGTATTTAAACTGTCACTGGGTCGAGTTAATGTTCATGTTCAGTTGGTGGGTTGTTTTCAAAAGTATGTACAGCACTGTCGATGTGGTTCTATCTTTATCTTTGCAGACATGTTGCAACATTAAGACAGTGTGAGGGATGTCTGTGGACGGATGGATGCTGTCTGTTCCTTGTTTTGTGGGACATGTTTGACATGTATTGGGGAAAATCTGGGAGGTGTTGAGATGAGTACCAGGGAGAAAAACTAATTGACTCAACTTCACTTTTATTTTACTTAAGTACGAACGGAGCAAGCACTGCCTTTCCCTGGTGGTTCATCAAACAGAATTAAATCCAAGAAAGGCAGCAAAAGATGCTTTCTACTCACAATGGTCACCAGGTTTCACATATAAGTAGGCCTGCATAACTAATTTAGAGGCTGCATGAACAGGCTGCATTAAAAATATTTAATCTAATTGAGTAACATAATACTTTATATTTCATTAGAGATCTGGCACACAGCTCTCTAATCTGTGTGCCAGATCTTTAACTTCTCTCAGGTAATTGGTGACAAGATGAGGTGGTGCAGGCCATCCAACAACTTAATGTGGGCAAAAGTCCCGGTCCGGATGGTCTGCCCACGGAGTTTTACCAGCTATATTTGGATGATATTATAAATCTCCTTACTTCAACGTTCAATGAAGGTTTGAAGAACGGCTGTATGGGGGACTCCTTTTATCAGGGTTACCTTTGTCTTTTATTTAAGAAAGGTGATTAAACCGACCTGGATAATTACAGACATTTAAATATTATGAACATGGATTATAAAATACTTGCTTAAATAATTACTAATAGATTGAATGATTTCTGGATGAAATTATAGAAAAAGAACAAACCTTTGCAATAAAAGGCCGTCTGATGTGGGGCAATCTGAGCACATTGAAAGAAATTTGGAATAAACCACATAACAAAGGTTTTTCTATTATCGGCTTGGACCGAGACTGTCCCTGGTCTATCTATCTCTGGTCTGTTCTGGAAAAAGTCCAGCTTTGTACATCCTGGCCTCAGTAAGCCTCATTTCAGGTACAAGTGTAGGTAACGCCTCTAAGGTCACAGCTATGGCCTATGCAGATGACATTAGTGTAGTAATAAAAAAACAGCGAGAGATGGATTCTTTAATTAATGTTTTAAGTCTGTGTGAGCTTGCATCTGGGGCAAAATTGAAAAAACTTCTAAAACTGAAGAGGAGAGCGACAGGGGCGACATTTACATTCAAATTAAACAGGAAATTAAAATCTTGGGTCTGACCATATGTAACAAAGATTGTGGTGAAATAAACTGGGAGAAGAAACTGAGTGAAGTTAAAGAAGAAGGGAAAAAATGGGAAAACAAAAATACTAATTATAAGACAAGAATCAGTGTTGTCAAAACTTTTATTTTATCCAAGCTCCTGTTTTTATCGAACATTTTCCCCATCGCACAAAATGATAATGAAATTAAATAAACAATGTGTTAACCTGGTCTGGGGAACAACCAGGGAGGCACAAAAAGACAGTTACTGTATAAAAGCAGAGAATACGGGAGTTTATGTGCCGTAGATCTGGGTATCCGCCTCACAATGGTTTTTGTAAAAAATGTTTCCACAGCCATCTCCAGGAACGCTCTCTGGCTGGGCGATCCTATTAGGGGTGGGAGTAGCGTTGCATAGATAAGCTGCTTGCCTTTGGTGTGGGAGACCCGGGTTCAATTCCCACTGTGAAACATCCACCATTATGTCCCTGAGCAAGACACTTAACACCTAGTTGCTCATTTGTAAGTTGCTTTGGATACAAGTGTCAGCTAAATGAATAAATGTAAATCCCACCAAATGGCAAAAGACAGGAGGCAGGGCTAGAAAGGGCCCCTACTATAAATTAATTTACAGGGATTTCATTGCACAACACCAGCACCTACTGATAGACTGGGTGGGTTTTAGCAGCAAATCTATTTTTATAAAAATTAATGATTTTAAATATAGGTGTTTATTCACTACAATAATTTGGCGGTTGATGACTGAGGTGAGAAGAATATTAAGGGATAAGTCACTTTCAGAGAGCCTTCGGGACGCCCAGTGGCTCATGTCAGTCCCTGTCAGAGCGTGGTTTCATGGAGAGCTTTGGATAAGAAACAGACATAGTCATGTGTGATGATGTGTATCTATTGAATTGCTCTGTACTCTGACTTGTTTGAAATTTAATAAAGATCATTATAAAAGAAAAGAGAAAGAAGACATGAATTAGCACAACACCAGCACCTTCTGACAGACTGAGTTGGTTTAAACAGTAATATTTTCACAAAAATGATTTATTTTAAATATGGGGGCGTTATTCAATACAAGAATTTAGCTGTTGGCGATGGCACCAAGGTAAGAAAGATAATGAGGGATCGGCCTCTCTCAGAGAGCATTAGGGATGCCCGGTGCCACTGAGTTATGTCAATTATGGTGTCTTGGAGTTGCTATGTGATGACCAAACAATATCCCAGGAGCCATTAGTCAAGATGACTTGATCAAATATGAGCTGCAGGCGTGGGATCTACAGCACTAACGCCTCCATCTGTTAGAGTTAGCAGCATTGTCTAAACTTAGCTAACAGCCTGATACCAGTTCACAGTCTAGGGAACAATATGCAGAGTTAAATAAGGATGTTGCAATGTGGGAACCTTTAGAAAGTTAGTTAGCTAAATGGTGGTCCTACAGGATGTATGTGACCTAGTGAACAGCAAAACCAGAGCGTTGGAGGAAGATAGGGTGGACCATTTTACATGACCTGATTCACAATAAACAAAATTATTGATCCTGGCTCTGGTAGCCTATTTTGTAGATAAAAATTTAAGTAGCCCTACTGCATAAGCTACATGTTGATAAGGTTGCTTTTATGTTTATATACACAAAGCAGCTTTTGAGATAGTTTAAGGTTTGCCTTAGTAATTTGATGGGTGATAGCAAAGTCATTGTTTCATGGATGGTTTCATGGACAAGTGAGGAATAGTGCTCTTATCAGAAATGTGTGGCTCTTAAAAGAGCCTTTTGGGGGCTGTATATCAGCGAGTCTCCAGATTTACTTCTTGGCGGGCTTCTCGGTCTTTTTGGGCAGCAGGACCGCCTGGATGTTGGGCAGCACGCCGCCCTGAGCGATGGTGACTCCGCCCAGCAGCTTGTTGAGCTCCTCGTCGTTGCGGACGGCCAGCTGCAGGTGACGGGGGATGATCCTGGTCTTCTTGTTGTCGCGGGCAGCGTTGCCAGCCAGCTCCAGGATCTCAGCGGTCAGGTACTCCAGCACCGCCGCCAGGTAGACGGGGGCCCCGGCGCCGACACGCTGAGCATAGTTCCCTTTACGAAGGAGCCTGTGGACACGGCCGACGGGGAACTGGAGCCCGGCACGGGAGGAGCGGGTCTTTGCCTTTGCTCTGGCTTTTCCGCCGGTTTTGCCTCTTCCGCTCATGGTTAGATCTGTTTTCTAAAGTCGAGACTCGAAGAAAATGTGGCCCCGACTGGCAAAGCCCTCCTTTATATGTCCGCGGAGCGGGGACGGTTCTGCCAGACCAACCAGAAAAGGGGCCTCCTGCAGAGCAGTAGAGGGCGGCCCCTCTGCATTTTGGCGGACATTTCGAGCTGATTTTCCGCCAATAAGCAGCGCAGATTCAGGCGGTGCGTCGCTCCTCTAGGCGGTGCTGGGCGCCAGGAGGGGCCCCTCACCAATCAGGAGCCGGAGCTCTGAAGCAGCGTCACCGTCTCACAGCCGCTCCCGCACTTTAAGAGCAGCGAGTCTGTCCGCTTTCCCTCACTTTCTCTTGTTCAGAGACAGAGAGATCATGGCAAGAACCAAGCAGACCGCCCGTAAATCCACCGGAGGAAAAGCTCCCAGGAAGCAGCTGGCCACCAAGGCTGCCCGCAAGAGCGCCCCGGCCACCGGCGGAGTGAAGAAGCCCCACCGTTACAGGCCCGGTACCGTGGCTCTGAGAGAGATCCGCCGCTACCAGAAGTCCACCGAGCTGCTGATCCGCAAGCTGCCCTTCCAGCGCCTGGTGAGGGAGATCGCTCAGGACTTCAAGACCGACCTGCGCTTCCAGAGCTCCGCCGTCATGGCTCTGCAGGAGGCCAGCGAGGCTTACCTGGTCGGCCTCTTCGAGGACACCAACCTGTGCGCCATCCACGCCAAGAGGGTCACCATCATGCCCAAAGACATCCAGCTGGCCCGACGCATCCGCGGAGAGAGGGCTTAAACTCTCAAACCACCTTTACAACAACACAACGGCTCTTTTAAGAGCCACCTCACTTCACACTACTGAGCTCCTTCTGTTAATTTATTTCAATGTAATGTTTAGGCTACATCTTTAAGTAACATTATTAGTAAATTAGGCTTAACACTGACATCAATTCAGATATTATCACATCAGACCTGTAGGAAAACATAATTTGAAGAGAACAGGTTAAACTTATGAACACAGGCTATATCCAGTTTTTTGTTTAACTTAATCCACTCTGTCTACTGCCATTCAGGCACATATGACTGGTGGGTTCTGGTGGTCCTCCCCAGAAAATTGGAGCATTAAACACTTAATTTCCTGCATTCTGGATTTACAGTGAAAATGTTTATAAATGGGAATAAAACAAGATTTAGCTGGTAGGTGACATTTATATAAAATGACATAAATATAAAATTGTAATGTAGAATGCACTAATAAGTAGCTTTTTTTTAGCTTAAAATAAGTTACAATTTGTTTCTTCAATATTTAAATTGCATGGCATGTTTTCTCATTTTGTAACTGACACCATCACAGCTGGATTTAGCTATAACGTCAGTCTTTGTGAAGTCGAGATTTACACAGAAATAAATGAAAATGAGTGCATCACAGAAACTAGTTCTTACATTGAGCTCAGCTGTTACTAGATATTATTCACACCAGCAGTTTGGCTGCTAGATGGAACAGATTCTTGAATACCAACTGAACAATCTGCCTGCTTGAAGATTAAAAATGCAACATAGGCCATGGCCTGCTTAGACCAACAAGATAAGCTAATCAGACAGCATGTCAGACTACACACACTTGATCTTCCCCAGATAGCAAACTATCAACTATAAAGTGAACTATAAATAGATGAATTTTCAATATTGTTGTTGTTACCCAGTCAACAACAAATCAATATTATTCCAATGTCACTTTCATATGGTCACATGACGGGGCAGTGGATACGACGCCTGGCTTTGGTGTGAGAGACCCAGGTTCAATTCCCCCCTGTGACACCTCCACCAACGTGTCCTAGAACAAGACACTTAACCTCTAGTTGACATATAGCAATCGTAAGTCACTTTGGATAAAAGTGTCAGCTAAATTAATTTATGTGTGTTTGCAACTTGTGTAACAGGGTGTCTGAACCATCAGGACTGAGACCTTTTCTCATTATTATAGAGAATCTACATCAAAGACAATCATACATCTCCACCCTGGTGAAGATTCCCATGTCAAGATCTTGTCAGCATCCTGATTGGAAACATCACCAACTGGTATGGGATGTGTGACGGCCCAGATAGCAGAAGAGAACTACAAACTGCATTTGATTTTACAACCCTTTAGTATATATGACAATTACATTTATCTTATACCTTATTATTCACTAGAGCCAGCAATAGCAACAGGAAGTGGAACAACCCTATGGAGGCCGCATCAGGTCTGTATCATGTGACTTTCTTTTGTTGCTCCAACAAGTACAGAAGGAAAGAGGGTCTTTTTTGACAACCGCCGCCAGATGGCGTTGCAGTAGCGCTGCCATCATTTTGGACTGAGCACGCCAACTGGACAACAGCATGGAACCCACAGACACAGCCCCAAAAATTGTCATTTCAAATTAGCTGTATGAAATGTTATGCTGTAACAACAAATACAACGGTGTGATTACGTGGTCTCATTTTGGTTTGCAGTCTACCGACGGTGTAAACAGAGCTGAATAGTTGACAATACGCAATGACATCCTGCAGGCACCTACTAAGTAATGTGCTGCCAGAACATAATAATATACTAATGGCCAAAATGAAATAACAACAAAATCTCGCGGCAGTCGTGACAACCTTTTTTTCTATAGTGTACCTTCAGCAGACCAGACACACTCCAGGGAAGTATTATGCTTGTAAGAAAATAAACTTGCCTCTCTTAAATAATACAGTAGCCTAATGTAATAATGTTACACACACACACACACATAAATATTTATGTCTTAGGTTTGTTTTGGGGGGTATTTACTTTCTTGCTGTCTGATGCTTTATCCTTAGATATGTTTGTTAATTGTTTAGAATGGTTAATTCTGCTAAAAATCATTTCACGTGCTGGTCTTCTGTAATAAAATACTCACATCTTAATTTGTAATAAGGGCCTCTTCTATGTCGCCACACAGAGCCATCTCCAACCCAGAGAGCAGCAGAAACATTTTAAACAAAAGCAGTTTTTAATCTGCTACCAAGCTCTCACCCTTTTACATTTCAATATATAATGCTATAAAAAGGAACTATTCTACAATTTATATTCGATTTACAGTTAATTTAATTTTAATATGCAAGGTTAACCCAGCACTTTACTGAACAGCATGCAGCATTTTCTACTTAACCTGCAATGTACACTATATTACTGGGAACTACTGTATGTGTATACAGTCCCCTCCAAAAGTATTGGGACGTTAAGACAAATTCCTTTGTTTTTCTTGTTCACTGAAGACATTTGGGTTTAAGATCAAAAGATGAGTACGAGACAAGTGTTCAGAATTTCAGCTCTCATTTCCTGGTATTCACATCTAGATGTGTTAAACAACTCAGGACATACCACCCTTGAACCCACCCATTTTTCAAGTGAGCAAAACTATTGGAACATGTGACTGACAGATGTTTCTTGTTGTCCAGATGTTGCCTTTTAGGTTGATTGTCCAAACATTAAATATCTCTGCATGACTAGTCTAAGTTTCCATCCTTGGTTCAAACCTATAAAGACTGCATTTCCCGTTAAAGAGGATAAACCAACATGAAGACCAGAGAGCTGTCTGTGGGAGAAAAGCAAGCCACTGTCAAGCTGAGAAAAGAAGGAAAATCGACCAGAGCCATTGGACAAACATTGGGCAGAGCAAGCACAACAGAGCTGTGAAGAAACCCCCCAAAACATCAGGAAGTGACATCACCAACAACCTCCACAGTGCAGGGGTGAAGGTATCACAATCCACTGTTGGAAGAAAACTCAGAGAGTAGAAATATAGAGGCCAGTGTTTGAATACACACACAATGTAAATTAGTGAAAGTCCTGCAAAATGTATTTCATAAAAAAAAAATATTTGCCTACTATGAGGTAAATATAGGCTATTTCAACAACAAAAATAAAAGTACTCATTATGCAGAACCACTGTGTATTACTTTATTATTATTCAAGATAAATTAACACAACAGCAGCAGTCGCAGCTGGTCACAGTGCAGCTTTTTTATATTTCTACTTTATGTTGGAGCACTGCATTTCTTTACAAGATATTATCTTCAGAATAAATCAGTTTTGGTCTATAAAGTAGGCTAACTACTGTTAAATAAATATAGTGCAGTCAGGTACATAGGCCTATGTATTGAAGTATAAGTAGTGTAAAGACTCAGTGGAGTCAGGGAGCCCAGTGGAACTCTCCTTAGACCTCTTCTGAACATAACAACATAGAAAATATAAGTAGACCATCCGGTTTTTAAGTCATGACATCACAACTCTCGATAATACTGTTTCTGGGTCCAAAGTCCGGGCCCTACCAATCTACCGCGTTCGGACGCTTTTTCCACTATGCCGCAGTGCTGTGTGCCGTGTTGTTTAAATAGATCAGAGTTAAAAAAAACAAGTGACCTTCAATTGTCATTTTACCGATTTCCTTGTGACGAGAAAGAGAAGAGGAAATGGCTGCAGTTGATAAGGTAAGTTACAATTCTTCAAAACGAATGATGAAACGTTTGGCACCACGTTTGGGTGCTATAACGTTAGTTAATGTTAGCAAAAAACCCATGTTATGGCAGACAAGAGCTTCACAATTCGGGCCATTTTGCCAGAGGGAAAACATTCCGTCTTTCCTGGTCAATGGACAGTTCACACAGGAGGAAGTGAACAATAACAGACTCATCTCAAGAGCTAGGACACATGTGGAGCGTTCAATTCAAAGACTGAAATTGTTTCACATTTTGGACCACATCCCATACCAGTTTAGACAAAACATCAACAAGATAGCTGAAGTGTGTGTGTGTCTCACAAATTTACAAACACCCATTATCCGTGAAATCGAATGAATTAACTGTTGTACATATTCCTGTTGTGATTCAATTTATGCACATTTGCTTGCAGAATACGCATTAAGTCACAATACATGGTCTAATACATGTATAAAAAATACATATAAATATTGTTATTGATTTTATATTACCATATTTGTGCTATTTTAGGTCTCTCTTGTAAAAGAGGTTTTAATCTCAATGTGACTTCCAAGTTA